GTTCCAAAACATAGGGGATTAGTTAAGGTACATGTAATCTGACCCAGACACCCCCACTTCTTTTATTTATTTTATTTTTTTTTTTATTTGGGGGAAAAAATTGAACTATGCTGTCTATATGTGCAAACCTAGAGTGCTGTTTTCTGAGGCTTGAATATGGAGAATAAATGATTTTGGATATCAATTTGTTCAGACTTTTAGTTTTTGGTTAATTTTATTCACACTCAAAGATATATTCAAGTTAAGAAAGCATCCCAACAATTACCGGAAACTATTAAATACCCCTGAAATTACCACAAAAAACCTTAGAAAATATCAAAAAACCTTGTAGATATAAAAACCCCTGGACGATGAGGTATTTGATATTTTTCGATAATCACCAGGTCGTTTTTTACTTGAATATCTCTCATGGCAGATGAACTACCAAATCATAATTGTAATGTTCAAAAACCTCTTATATAGTCATAAAAGATGTAATTAGATAACCAATCAAATCTTTATATTTGCTCAGGTGAAAACATTTTTTTGGATAAAATCTTAGCTTTTAAACTACCACTGGATAACCTAATGGTAAAAGAGTGAAAAAATGTTTTATTAACTCCTGAGTTCAAGTCCGTCAGGTACTAATAGGAATGACCACTGAGACTTTTATCTAACTGATAATTTCAGGATTTTAAAAGATTAGTTAAGGTACACGTAAATTGACCCAGATGCCCCAATGGTAAAAAAAAATTAATAATAATAATCTTGGCTTTTAAATATTAATATCAGTTTGATACTTTAATTGGGCCTAGACTATAGATGGCCTGAAAGCTGAAATGGACAAATGGTGATTCATCAATCTATAGCTCCAGCTGATGTTGTGGAGTCATATCTTGGACCTTGATATAACCCAATTAGGAATTTGGGATCAAGATCAACACCCATATTGTCCATGTGAAAATTTTGTAAAGTAAACTACTCTCTAATAAAACCAGCCCAACCAAAGCCCAAGAAATCACAATCTGAAAGCAACAGTTGCTCTAAAATTAAATTAATAATAAACAATAAAAGGACAGGAAATCAGAATTCAGATCCGATGAAAACTTGACCAGGCCGACCTAAACATGCCAGAAACTTTCAGGAAGATATGGAACCTATAAAACTTTGCATCTTCATTAACAAAATATAAGTTTCAAATTTAACATCTCTCATACAGCCATTCAAAATTCAATTTCAAGGAGTTAACTCCAGTAGGAAATAGGAATAGGATGTGAATACAACCTCCTTCAAAATGAAACTGGCTTTTAAAATAAATAATGCAACCCTAAATATTGAATGCTATTTCTTCAACAAGATTAGCTGTCCATATGAATACAGAAAAATTTCATCATTCTACACAGACAGGAATACATTTTTTATTTCTATAAACTTGTTCATTGAAAATGACTTCGACCTTAGTCAAATAAGACTTCAGAGACAACCCATTACCTAACCAGAAACTTAATGCAAATCCCAGAACTATTCATTTTGTGAAAATTCTACAGCAAGTCATATTCAAGAATTGATGTCCCAAGCAATAGATACACAAACCACCTACTACCGGTATTGAGGGAACATGAAAATCTGATTCAAAAATGTTGAAAGTTTGATTGATATAAGACTGATAGGTTTAGTCAAAATAAACGGAAAAAAAGCTTTAATTGAAAGGGAAGGATTCCACGAATAAAACTCCTAATTATCATAACAAATGCCTACCTCAGGTATTGTCTTAATCACTTGCTCTATATTTTTCAACCACCCACTCTTCAAACGAGAAAGGGAAAATAGTTTGGAATTGGAATAGAATTTAATTAAAGCTGAAACCATAACACATGCAATGCGAAGCTGGCATAACTCACTGCTCATTATGCATACAACAATTTTGACAACACAACCTTCTCAATGAAAAGTCTTTTCATATATTTTAACCAATAAATAATTTAATAAACTATCTCTATGTGACAGAGTGGTTCGATAGAGTCACTCTTGAGTGTAGTACTCAAGAGATTTTGAATTTGAATTTCTCCTCGGGAGTTACTAGAGATAGTCACTGAAACTCTTACCCAACAAGCAATTCTAAGATCCCAGGAGATTAGTTAAAGTGCGCGTAATCTAGTCCGAACACTTTCAGTCATAAAAATAATAATGATAAGAATTTGATACGATTTAAACCAACTAGCTACCTTCCCACTTCTTTTATTTATTTTATTTTTTTTTTTATTTGGGGGAAAAAATTGAACTATGCTGTCTATATGTGCAAACCTAGAGTGCTGTTTTCTGAGGCTTGAATATGGAGAATAAATGATTTTGGATATCAATTTGTTCAGACTTTTAGTTTTTGGTTAATTTTATTCACACTCAAAGATATATTCAAGTTAAGAAAGCATCCCAACAATTACCGGAAACTATTAAATACCCCTGAAATTACCACAAAAAACCTTAGAAAATATCAAAAAACCTTGTAGATATAAAAACCCCTGGACGATGAGGTATTTGATATTTTTCGATAATCACCAGGTCGTTTTTTACTTGAATATCTCTCATGGCAGATGAACTACCAAATCATAATTGTAATGTTGAAAAACCTCTTATATAGTTGTAGAAGATGTAATTAGATAACCAATCAAATAATNCCAAGTTTTTTGAGTGTCTTGGTCTCATGCAACATGGGTATGAAGTAACCTCTTACCTCTATGCTTCAGGTAACATCAATCTTCCAGACCTTTTCCAGAGATCAGTATGTCCTGAAGCATGGAGTCAAACAGCGAATTGGATTGGCTATGTTGCAGTATCAAATGATAAAATGTCAGCACATCTTGGACGGAGGGATATAACCATTGCTTGGAGGGGCACGATGACAAGGCTGGAGTGGATTGAAGACTTTATGTACTTTCTAAGGCCAATTTCATTGAAAAAGATCCCTTGTCCAGATCCAAGGGTCAGAGTAGAGTCCGGGTTCCTTGATCTCTACACAAACAAGAATAAAAGTTGCCGGTTCTGCAAAAACTCAGCAAGAGAACAAATTTTAGCAAAGTCAAGAGATTAATACAGCAATACAAGGATGAGAATTTGAGCATAACAATCACAGGTCACAGTCTAGGAAGTGCACTAGCAATACTGAGTGCATATGACATAGCAGAGACTGGGATAGACGTCATGGACAGTGGGAAGATTGTACCTACATGTGTCTTCTCATTCTCAGGTCCAAGAGTTGGGAATATCAGGTTCAAGGAGCGGCTTGAAGAACTTGGGGTGAAAATATTGAGAGTGGTGAACATTCATGACAAGGTACCACATGCACCTGGGATATTTTTTAACGAACGCATACCACCGGCACTTCAAAAACTAGGCGAAATGTCTCTGTGGCTTTACTCGCATGTTGGGGTGGAGGTTGCTCTGGATCACAAGGACTCCCCCTTCCTGAAAGAGACAAGTGACTTGGGTTGCTTCCATAATTTGGAAGCTCTTCTTCATCTACTTGATAGGTTAGTATGTCCCTCTTTAGCATTTAGAAAATCAATCCCATCACTGAACCAAGCTACTCAGGTCAGTATGTCACACCACAAGCAATAGAAGCATTTAAGCATGCTCATCATTATTCGTCACTTAAGTACTTCTTTGGCCCACCAGAGTAAGCAATTTTACGTAAACCTAATATCCAGAAAAGTTCTGCAACCCTGTGCAACTGTAGAAGCATTGGATAGAATTGCATTTAAGATGTAGAAAGCAACAATGCTAGGTATCAATTTTAGGGTCCCTAAAAGCCACAAAAAATTCCGAGGCTACCGCCTACCAAACAATTGGAACTATAGCAGGAGAAAATATGTTATGTCCCACTAAACATACAGAACTAAATCAGATCTTGTGTTATCGAATCTTCATTATATACACTCAGTCATTCTGGAAAAACAAATGAATGCGGTAACTTCCAAATCAGAATCAACAATTTCAAAAACTACATTATTATGCAATCTAGTTCTTTTGACATGACACATTGCACAACAAAAGCCACAACTACTGGAAGTTAAGGGCAAGTTAGGTCTTCAATGATAATATATCATTCACTTTTTGACTCATATTGAACAGGTACCATGGGAAGGGCCAAAGATTTGCGCTTACCAGCAGAAGGGATATTGCATTGGTGAACAAAGAAACTGACTTCTTGAAGAACCATTTCTTGATCCCACCAAAATGGCGGCAAAGTGAGAACAAAGGACTGGTGAGAAACCAAGAAGGCCATTGGGTGCAGCCTGAACGGCCAAATCCCAGGGATCATTTATAAGTAGATCAGCAATGCCAAAAATTTGTATTTTGGATTACTCTGAGATTGACACATAATACTGCAACTGAATCAAAATAGCAATTCTATGGTAGCACCTCTCGTCAAGGATAGATAGGAGAGCCATGAAGTGATAGCTGAGATGAGAGAAATATTTAATTGGATTGTCTAAACTCAAGGTCAAAAATAAAACTTGCAATTTTACTAAAATTTCTGTGAAATGTATTAATAAGGTTGTATAGTTTGTTCAACTATGGCCAAACATTTATTTATAAGAGTAGTGTTCTATTCTTAAAATGTAGTACAGTGTGATTATTATGTTATTTTTCCTGTTTGCCCATGAGCAACAATTGTTTTACATAATAGGAATATTAGCAGCAATTTGTCTGGCTTCAGAGATGACAGTAACGTTATATAGCTCTCTTTATAAATATAAGGAGCAATTAAACTTTAAATCAATTCAATCAAAACACCAATAAACTTTTTGCAATAGACATGTTGAACAACTAAATCTGAAGGCAGTCCAAACAATGATAGCGTGAAAAAACTAAAGGGGATTATTTATCCTAACAGAAGCATCATAAATCTACATCATCTGTGTGAATAACCAACAGTCATTTACCCTTTTTGCAGGAAAAAAAATGGGGAAGATAAAATGTTTTGAATGAAATAGCTGTTGACACAATCAAAACTAAACAAGTGAAGCAAATGTGGGGTTTGTTGGATTTATTACTATAAATTTGAAAGAGACAGTTGCATAATTAATATGAAAGCATCATCTTGACCACAAAGATGGGTATGTAACCATAAAAATTACCCATAGCAATACAGAAATGAACTGTTTGTCAGTCCCTGAATGATTGAAGATTCACTTGAAGATCATATAGCTTCCCCAAGATGCAGTTGAGCCAACTGAAACAGAGGCATTAAATTACCCCTTAGTTGTATCATTCTGAACCACGTCCATTTAGGCCAAACATATATACAGTGTCTGGAGAAAACAAACCCAGATACCAGTTTAACCAACAATGTAATAAAACAGTACCATGGTAATCTAGTGACATAAAATAGAAACACGAGCAACAAATACTGAGTGTATTATTCTGCAGAAACTATTATATTAGTATACTGTATTGATTATGCACAGACACAACATATTCTCCAAGTGATGCATGTGCTTACACAAACCCAGAGAAAAGGATAAGACCACCAACATGAGATAATAAAAAATGTTTCTTTGATCACATAAACTGTAAATCAATGCCAAAAACTGCTAGCAAAACTATACTAACTAAGCTTATAAAGATCTCCAATATCTATACCTCTTCAAAAAAAATTATCAAACAGTTTCTTATACATCTTCTAATCAACAGAAATGAGGAAAGAATGATGTACAAAGGTAGACAAAGACTAAAGAGCAATACCTTTTCATTCACGGCATTTGATTCTCAGGCTGAGAAAAGAAATCTTTGGCATTATGCGCTACCTCTGATTCAAGTACAGCTTCCAACAAAATGTCTGATCCTTTTGCACTCTCTGCACCATATCATTTGCTTGTTATTAAAGATAAATGCAAACTAGAGGAAAATTCTTTCAATAATTTTCCATGCATGCTTGTCAAAAATATCATTTAAAGAATTTTGTCAGCTTAATCACCAAAGTATTAACATGCAATGTAGGAAAAAATTCAAGACCATACTCTATCATAGAATTTTCAGTTTTATCACTAGTAGAGAAAAAATAATAAAAAAGAGATTAAGACATTGCCTTCAAGAACTTGCCAAGATCATGTGTTTACTAGAAGACAAAATCACAGAAATGTTTTACCCTTGCGATTTGGAAGCATGCCAGTGCTTTCGGCTGATACTGGAAGAACAGTAAACAAACCAGCTTCATCTTCAGAATTTTCTTTCTCTGCAATGCTCTTTAAAGAACCACTCTTCACAGCTTCAGATTCAGCCAGTCTTGCAAATGCAGTTGCTTGGCTGTGTAAATCTAATGAGCCATATGGTTTGAACCTATGGTCCTAAAAGGTCCATGTAAAGGGTGTTATGGACATGAAAAGTATGCTTTGTTATGAGGAATAAAATTAGTGATCCATAAGATTCAAAAACCTTTAACACAGTGCCTGTTGATGGATAGTCTACTTCACATTTTTGGGATGAAGCGTTGTCTATTAACAAGGACAAACAGAAAAGGCAATCAAGTGAATTATAAAACACACATAAGCAGCAAGTAAAGAAATGTTAAGGCAGTGAATCCTACCATCATGATTAGAAGTAGGCTCTGGAGGACTGTCCATCAGCTTTCGAGTCAAGGGACCAGGGTTAATAAGAGATACACTTCTGATTTCATAACGAATTGCCTCTAGCTGCTGCATTGCATCTTGAAGTTCTTTTTGTACCTAAAAGATACAAGAATGACAAAAGATGAAATACATTTCCCGAAACTAATTACAGGACGTCGAACACACCCAGCACATGGCCTGAACTCAGATCTCTACTAACTTCAATTTGGTAAGGGGTAAATGGGAGCAAAGGTAGCAGGAAGGAACCAAACTTAACACAAGGCAGATCATTTCCCCTATATAGCTGTAAGAGGAGTTCAAAGGGAAGGGAGTTGGACATATAATCCTTCCAAACAAACAAATATGACTACTTCCATAAATGTGCAAAACAGGGGGAAAAAAGAAAAAAGAAACACCATTAAAAGGAGAGAAACCTCACAAGGCTTTGGCGCAAGTTTTGCGTTGCAACACACTCAATTAATTACTATACTTCGCACATAAATGTGCACTAGGATAAACAGAAAAGTCATCTCCATTGTCCACAAACAACACAGTATAGTAACATCATTTAGTGGAACATCGAAAGAGAACTAACTGTTACTCCCATTAAACACAAGAACTAATTCAGAAACAAAAAAGAGGGGTTAAAATAGGAACCTGGCGTGCTTGAGACTGTTGCATAACATTATCAAATTGGCCACGAGCTAACTGAACGTATCCAATGGCTCGGCCAGCTAATCTCCCAGCTGTTCTCGCAATTATGGGGAGGTCTTTAGGTCCTACAACACATAAAATGTCAAACTCGTTTGAAATCATGTTTCCAGAATACCTAACAAAGGAACCAATTTCTAGTGTATACATATATAGATATGGGTTGGTTATGATTTGAAGTCAGAAGATAAAATGTAATATTATTAATTTAATTGTTTTTCTAAACTATCATACTAAGAGAAATGAATAGTTTGAAGTTTCTGAGTTCTGTTCTATATTAAGTCACAAAAGGGGAGCGAAAGTGGATACCAACAAGAGCTGCAGTGGCACCGATAATGAGGAAGAGCTCTCCGTACGAAATACCAAACATAATGTGAGCTTTCCACTTCTGTTTTGCACAGGGTTATCAACAATGAAGAGGGAGTTACAGAGAGAATCCTTCAGATTGGCAAAAAAAAAATGCGCACATTCAATGCATCCAAGAAAAGAAACGACTACTAATAAGTAATTTCACAGCACAGATTAGAAGAAGAAGAAAACAAAAAAAAAAAAAAACAATTGAGTGCTCACTTGATTCTGCAACAGCTTAAATTCGGCAATAAATATAAGCTAAAACTACAAATTTCATGAACTATAATTCTTGGTTTACTTTAATATCTCTTAATTTGAAGCCCTAAAGGTTTATACAAGTTAGCATCAGACGTACATAAAATTGGCGGTTTCAAATTTCTGGCGGCTGGCCGTCGGACATTAGAGACGTGCTAGTGGCCGGCATGGGGCGCACGATGCTGCTTAGAGATTGTGATGCGTTTGCGGCGGCGTAGTTAGTTGAAATGGCGGCAACCGTTGATTAGTTGGCTGTTTGATCGACCGGCGGCGACAGCGTGAAGAGCCATTTTGGTCGTAGAGTTCATTGTTCAAAACTTTAAAAAGAAAAAAGAAAATTAAAAAAAATTATGAATGGGTGGGTCGGGTTTCAATTAGACCCGATGGGTCAACCGGACCCAATTGCATAAGCCCAACCCAAAAACTTTACAATGGTGTTATTGGATATTGATACATATTACAAGACCACTGCTACCTATCACGTGTAAAAACATCTCCACTCACTCTTTGTTTTAAAAAACATTTTTCATATAAATAAAAAATATTTTTATTGATTTTTAAATATAAAAAATAAAATTTTTATTCAAATCCAATAGACTCTTTAAATTTTAAGAAAGAGAATATATTTTTTCAAAAAAAAACTTAATATGAAAGATAAATCATAAATAAAATACATAAAAACTTATAATTTATTATTTAAAATTAGAATAGAGAGTGAAATTTAACTCTTTAAATGACCTAAACTCTTTATTATAAAAAGTCTATCCATAAAAACAATAGTTCAACAGACTCTTTATCTTTAAAATATAAATTAGAAAGTGAGTTTGGTTCTCCACATTTAGAGAGTAAAATCTCAATATCTATCCTAATTTTAATTAATAAACTACAAGTTCTTATGCATTTTATTTATTAATTCTCTCTCCCATTAAGTCTCTTTCTTAAAAATAAAGAGTATCTTCATTAAATTTAAGGAGTTTATTGAATTTGAATAAAAATTGTGTTATTTATATTTAAAAATTAATAAAAATGCTCTTTATTTATATAAAAGATGCTCTTCAAAATAAAAAGCACTATTGGAGATAAGTATCTCGAATGAACTCTTTATATGATTCAAACTCTTTATTATAAAAAGTCTATCCATACAAACAAGACTCTTTATCTTTTAAATATAAATTAAAAAGTGAGTTTGACTCTCGACATCTAGAGAGTCAAATTTTACTTTCTATCCTAATTTAAATTAATAAATTATAAGTTTCTATGCATTTTATTTATTAATTCTTTCTCCCATTACTTATTTTTCTAACATATTTATTAAATTTAAAGAGTTTATTAGATTTGAATAAAAAATTTATTCTTTATATTTAGAAATGTATGAAGATGCCCTTCATTTTAAACAGCATATTTCACATAAATAAAAAATATCATTATTAGATTTTAAATATAAAGAATAAAATTTAAATTTAAATTTGATAAACTCTTTAAATCAGACTTAATAAATAAATAAAAATTTGATAAGAGAGATAATTAATAATAAAATATATAAAAATTTGTAATATAGAGTATTAAATTTTTTATAATAAAAAATTGGGTTTTTATAAATAGTATTTCGGAGATCCAATCACCCTTTATTAATTTGTTTCGAGTTTCCAGGACTCACTCTCAGTGCGCTAACAGGATTAGTTGAAGCCCATATTTAATTAAATTAATTGAAATAGGCATGGTCTTGATGTACTTATGATGTGATGTCCGCGTGGGAAATGACATATTCTCTTCCTTTCGGTTTATTATCATTAAAAAGTTGACCAATCTGTGTATGCATTAACTTAAAGAATAATACTTTGAGTACTAATGGATGAGTACTAATATATGTACTAATTAATGCATAGTATTCGTACTATGTACATAGTACAGGTACTATGCTTTAGTTAGTACACATATTAATACTCATCCATTAGTACCCATAGCATCACTCTAACTTAAAACTAAACAAAAAGGTTGAGACGGGTGAAGTGGTTATGTGTGAAATAAGTCAAATAAAAGAACAACTGTGCTTAACTACTTCTCATGACTGACTACCTTTTTGCAATACTAAAAAATTAATTAATGAAAAACGAGATTAATTTATACTTAAATGGGTATGTTAAAGAAGACAATACTACTTTGACAGTGACTCAAATGATGATTAATTAACGGTGTATATGGTGCAATTAATTCACCATTAAATCTCTTGATTGTGATTTACTACCTAATCAAATCCAGTGGTAGCAAACAAAAGCCAACAAATAAAACCAATTGCTAATAATTTCTTATTATAATGTCTGTCTCCTTCCTCTGCTAAATTATATTATAAAATTGAATATTTGTTACCGATCACATGATTGTATGTTAATGTAATACATAAACACCTTCACATGATTCCACCACCGACTCAACCCTAAATAATCAAATAATATTAGATTGCTAATATAATACTTGTAACGCCCACATCGACGTATGTAGTTTTACTCATGTCCTAATACCTTAAATTTTATTAAAGTTATCTTAAACAAGTGTGAAATTTTTTTTCTAAAAGATTTGTATATAAAGAAAATTAGTTATAGACCTATTATTTTATACTCATCTACATATATATTTTCTTATGTATATTTAATGAGTTTTACTGTTATTTTACGAGTATACTAGCTAGATAGAGAAAGTATTACAATACTTGATTGACCATGGTAGGATTGAATACTATGATCAATCAGCAAAGCGAGATAAATAAGTTGAAAAGTAAGAAGTAAATAGACAAAGATTTTTAAAGTAGTTCAGTGAGTAATAATCAAATCTATGTTCATTGTTATTTTATTATTTTGTTTTCTCTTTACATTCAGGACAATCACAAGGAAAATGAGTGACCAATGAGTGCACAGAGAAGTGAGCTCTCGGTATACTCTCCTTTTCTCTCCCTAAATTGACTATTTTTCCTTGTATGCGGGTGTGGTTGAATGAATTCATCCTCTTGAAATGAAAGCAACTTCTCCTACGTTCACTATTATTTTATTGATTTGTTTTCTCTTTACATTCAGGACAATCACAAGGGAAATGAGTGACCAATGAGTGCTCAGAGAAGTGAGCTCTCTGTATACTCTCATTTTCTCTCCCTAAGTTGACTATTTTTTTCTTGTCTCTGTGTGTGGTTGAATGAATTCATCCTCTTGAAATGAAAGCAATTTCTCTTTTTATATTCTCGCTTGATAATGGTTGAGAGTTGGTGATTACAAAGTGATTTACATGCATGATCTCCCATAATTAGGATTTGCGTCAAATGTGTCGTGCCTAAGACCAAAGTTTTAAAACCCGACCCAGGGAGTGACCTAGTTAGGTCACCGAGTTGGCCAGTCGAACTGGTTCAATCGTCAGGTTGAACTGACGGTTTATAACAAAAAATCCGATCCAATCGTGATTCAAACTATCTATTTGAAAATTCTGATTTTTTAGTCGAACTGACCTAACTCAATCATCGATTCCCGATTTAACCGGTCCAACTGGGCTTGACTAGCTTTTAAAACCATGTCTAAGACAATCAACCCCTATACTTGAGGTAGTCAATCTTGCTAGAGAAGCCTTTGGTTGGGGAGATGCCGCGTGGAAAGAGCCTAACCATTGGATCCGAGAGTTGTCGGTGGACAGGTGGCGTGCATCTTATGACTGGGAAGTCCACCACACAACACTAATTAAATAGACAATTATCGTATAAAAGAAAAATAGTGCAATTAAAAGCAAAAATTGTGGGACTCTCTCAGTATGAGAAAAAAAAAAAAAATCTTATTTTTTTTCTTTTAAATATATAGTAATATGTTTATTTGGATAGAACATAGATGTTATATTTATAGCATCGAATAAAATGGAAAAAGAAATCTTGTTCATTGATACACAAAATCCAATAGAGCGGTTATGGTTCTCAATGTAAACCTAACACTAAAAACCTCCATCAGGATCGCCCTTTTGTTTTGCCTGTACATCAAACAAACTCAGAACATTTGTACTTTTTAAATTTGACTTTTGGTAAGCGGTCCAAATATTTGAAATAGTCATGTCAGGTGGGCTCTAGTCAGCTCCTGTCCAACCCCACCGCCTGCCAAATCTATTTTGGGATTCGCTTGTCATACACCCAATGCAAACATGACACGTAAGGGATTATAGAAAGATTACATGATCCCATCCGCACCGTAGCATTTGTATTATTAATAAGAGAAAATTGGGAAAAAAAGAAAATGTAAAATGAATTTTAAGGATTCTTTCTTTGTTTAGTGGTGGTTTATCATTTATGTAAGTTTGTTTCAGTGGGATGTGATTGTTTTGTGAAGGTGATGGTTAAGAGACACGATGGGGCGAGACGGGTACGTGGTGCCGGCGGACCCACAGGCGGTTGTTGCGGCGAAGAAGAAAACGCAGTCGTCTCGGAGTTGGATACTTTTGGACTGTACAGGTCAGAGCACAGTTTTGGATGTCGACAAATACGCTATCATGCACCGCGTCCAAATCCACGCGCGTGATCTTCGCATTCTCGATCCTTTGCTCTCCTATCCCTCCACTATTCTCGGTCGTGAGAAAGCCATTGTCTTGAACTTGGAGGTCGATTTCAATTTCATATTTATTTATTTTATTTTATTTTGATTATTTTTTTAATCTGTATTTGTTCAGTTTCTTTAATTTAATTATGATTTTGTTTCTGTTTCTGTTTCTGTTTATTGCAGCATATCAAAGCAATTATCACCTCTGAAGAGGTAAGCGGAAATTAATTACTATTTTTTATTGGAATTTTATTCGAATTGCTCTGTAGTATCTGTAATAGTGATAATCTAAGTTTTGTAATATTGATAGGTATTGCTTCGAGATCCATCGGATGAAAACGTGATTCCAGTTGTGGCGGAACTTCAAAGGCGACTTCCACCTGTGAATGCCATTCGTGAAGCGCAGGAAGAGGGGAAAGAAGATGCTGGAGGGCATAATGAAGTTGAAGCTGGTGAAGAAGATGGTGTGTAATATTAATTCAATTATTTTTAGTTTGATTTGTTCGATAAAGAGCAAGTAATTCTATTGATAAGAAATGAAAATCTGAATGATTAGATTACGCTATGTAGAGTCTCCATTTGAATCCGAGCGCTGGAGGTAGCTTTGGAAGCCATTTGTAGTTTTTTAGCTGCCCGTACCACAGAATTAGAAACTGCTGCTTATCCTGCTTGGATGAACTTACATCCAAGGTCAGTACTTTTGTTTCTTCTTTCTTAATTAATTTATTTGCCTACCTGCAAT